ACACACTCTGTTCCAGTGCTCGAGAGATTCATCCGAGGGAGCAAGAAGATGGAGACCAAACCCACAGAGATCAGCAGCACCAAAATGTTTGGAGGCTTCAACAAGAGATACAAGCATTTCAGTTCCACCCTGGGTTGCTCCATGGTTTTCCACATCTACTTCCCTCCTTCTTTCGCCTCCAAGAAAGTACCTGTATGTCTCTTCCATTTTTCATCATTCTCCAAATTCCCACCTGTTGATTAACCTTATTCATGGTTCTGAATTTAGTTTTCTATCTGATTTGAGGTTTAGCTGTCAAATTCACTAGGGTTTTGTTTCATCTGGTTGTAATGTTGTTGTATGATTTTGGGACTGAGTAATGGTGATCTGTTTGAATTTAATGCTTGTTGGTTCACGTGAGTTTTAGGTGGGAGATGGGATTTGTTTGATTTATCATAAAAAAAATGATGTCTTTTATGGTCCTTCAACTGAATTTTGATAATTTAATGGTTATTGGTTCCAGTGGGTTTTAGGTGGGAGATGGGGTTTGTTTGAGTTTATCATAAAAAATATGATGTCTTTTATGATCCCTCAACTGGATTTAGTTGAGTTGATAAACTTCTTAACACTTTGAAGTTTGAATAGAATCCTTAGTCAATATTTCATTGCTGATTTATCACGATAGGGCTTATTGGTCAATTATAATGTTTTTAGAAGGGTTTGAATTTTGATGATATGATAGATTTGGTTATGTTTGTGACCCTGATTGTATTGTGTTCATTTTTGAGCAGGTACTTTACTGGCTTTCTGGGCTTACTTGCACAGATGAGAATTTTATAATCAAGTCAGGGGCACAGCGCACTGCTTCAGCTGAGGGTGTTGCACTCATTGCGCCTGATACATCTCCAAGTTAGTGCTGAGCCTGTTTCGAAAGTAGAACTATTCTTTTATGTGCTTGCTTGTTTAATTGCTGACTGCATGGCTTGCAAGTAGGTAACTTTAGCCGAAAGGTGAAACCTTTTTTATAGCCTTGACATACATTTCTGTTTGGCTTAGTAATTGAGAAATAACATATTAGCTCACCCACACTAGTTAAGAACATCTGACTCATGTATCGTGCTTTACCTAGCTTCATAAGAGAGAGTAAGCACTCTCTGATTTTGCTGTAGAATCTCCCTGCAGAATACATCCATAGAGTTAATACTCAGTTTGTGCCTGACTGCATTCAGGTTTATGGTTGTACTCTTTGAGAGAAGGCTATGACAAGCCTCGACTGTGATAAATAACAGAATAATCCATGATTTGCTGGCATATGGCCGCTAAGTGAGGATCTTTAACAATTACTATCTACTTACCTGGCAATTCATACTCTACCTCCTATTCAGCCTCTACATACCACTTCCTCTTTCATGTCTTGGTTTTCAAACAGTGGCCAAGGAGATTGAAAATAAGGAAACAAAATTATGTAATATACGTCCAAATTTTATATTTATATTTATATTTTCTTCTTACCAATTGTTTCATATTAATGCAAATTTTGTTCTTCTCCCAATGCAATTTTATTTTCTATGGTGTGTGAGGCTGACACTGTCTTTTCTTTTCTTCAATCATAGGAGGGCTTAACGTGGAAGGAGAAGCTGACAACTGGGATTTTGGTGTAGGTATGTAAGATAGGATTATTAACTTTCAGTTTGGAGATACTTGTAACAGAAAATGATTAACATCAATATCTGGTATCTTATTCTTTGATCTGAGATTGAGAACCATATGAATATCTTCCCTTTTTTCTATACTTCTTCATTAACCTTTAACCATATGTGATAGCATCACATTTCTGGCTTTGGATTTTTTTAGATATATTACCTTTGATTGTTATATCTGATAGTAAACATTAATCAGTGGAACTGTTTGTTTGTTGTAATGTACTTGAAGAGTATTTATTGCTGACTAAGGTCTTTTCCTTTTTTTTTTTTTTTTTTTGTTTCCATTTTTAATATCATTAGGTGCTGGCTTTTATCTTAATGCTACACAAGAGAAGTGGAAGAACTGGCGTATGTATGACTATGTTGTGAAAGAATTGCCAAAACTTCTGAGTGAAAATTTTCCCCAGCTTGA